GAGTGAGGCAGTGGGTGAAAGTACTCAGCTGCTAACCAAAAGGAGGGAGAGTCAAGTCCACCCAGATGTGCCTCAAACGAAAGGCCTCATGATCTACTTCTGAAAAATCAGCCCCTGAGATACCATCTTGGAAACCCAAGAGGGGTCGCTATGAGTTGAGACTGACTCAAGGGCAGTGAGTTTAAGGACCAGGGGAGTTGGGGTATCAATATTAATAAAAATGTGTATGGTGCTTTACATTATGAAAAGAACACAATCTCTGACACAGATGAGGTTGCCCTGAGTCAGAACTGGTTGGACAACAACAGGTTTACAGGGCTAGTGACAGAGTCTATGCACAAGGAGGAATAGGACATGTAATGGTGTTTTCATTCCTGATGAGGCAACAAACATTCATAGCGTATCCAGTGAGTATCCAGAAACTGGGCTTAACCCTGGGGGAACAAAGGTGAATAAGACTCTATCCCTGCCCTCGTGATGCTTGTAGTGTAGTGGGGAATACAGACAGGTAAATAGATAATTATAAAAATGTACTAAATGCAGTGGTGGAGATCTGCACAAAGTGACAGGAATGAATACTTGAAAGAGATCATGAGGATTTATAATAGTCCCTTCAAACAAACTGGAGGAGAAAGCCCAACAAACAGGTAACTCTTTCATCTCACGTACTTTGGCTACGTCATCAGAAGGGAAGCACACCTCACATATTTTGTCTCACGTACTTGGGACATGTTATCAGGAGGGACCAGTCCCTGGAGAAGGACATCATGCTTGGTACAGGGCCAGTGAAAAAGAGGAAGACCCTCAACGAGATGAGTTAACATGCTGGCTGCACGATGGACTCAACAATTGTGAAGACAGCACAGTACGAGACAGTGTTTCACTCTGCTCTACATGGGCTCACTATGAATTGGAACAAATTTGACAGCACCTATCAAAAACAAGAAAGCCCAAAAAACAGCTGATCTTTTCCTGGGCTGAGAGTCAGAAGATTGTTTAAAACAAAAATGATCTGAGTAAGGCATTTGACTGTTAACCAGAAGGCTGGCACTTCAAACCCAGCAGCCACTCTTCAGAAGGAAGATTGGGCAATCTACTTCCATAGAGATACCGTCTTGGAAACCCACGAGGGGTTGCTATGAGTTGGGACTGACTCAAGGGCAGTGAGTTTAAGGACCAGAGGAGTTGGGGTATCAATATTAATAAAAATGTGTATGGTGCTTTACAATATGAAAAGCACCTTTACAATCATTATCTCATTTAATCTCAACAACAAAGTGCTACAGAATGCTACAGACCGGCAACTTGCAGAGACTTGCTTTGAAGATCACATAAGTAGTAAAAAAAACCAAACTGAACTAGTCCTGTAAATCAACTCTGACTGATGATGACCCCGTGTGTGTCACAGTAGAACTGTGCCTTTCTTCTGAGATGCTCCTGGGTAGACTCGAACCTCCAACCTCTCAGTTAGCAGCTGAGAGCATTAACCATTTGAACCATCAGGAACTCCACACAGGGAGTAAGTGGCAGGAGTTTGAGCTGAGTCTTGGGATTTCAAGCAACCATAGGGCCAACTGGAACCAACACTAGAAATATTGAGTAAACCTCCCCTGTGTGTTCTGGTTCCCTAGTGCCACTCTGACAAGAATGTATACCACAAATGGGATGGCCTTAACAAACAGGAGTTTATTCTTACAATTTGGAGGCTTTAAGTCTAAGTTCAAGTGCCAGGATCTAGGGGCTGGGTGAAAGCCCCTCAACCTTGGGGTCCAGCTCCGCCTCCTGCTCCCAGCCCACTGGAGCTAGAGGCTTTTCTTCACTCAGACAGCTGCTAGCTGCTGAGGCTGACAAGCCCAAGGTTGGCAAGTAAAAAGGCACAGTCCCAATGCTACCAAACCACATGGCACACCATTAACTTAAGTCCATCATAAGTCCCAAGGTCGGCAGAACATAGCAGGCTGCTGAGCAATGACACAGCTACATGCAGGGTCCAAGTGTGCCACAGGCTAGAGACCATTCCCAAGGCTTCTGCTTATATACAGGAAGCAGACCACATCTCAAAGGCAGCTGCTCAGCTGTTTGTGGTAGATGCCACCATGGAGCTGATTGCCAGTCTCATCATGGGGCATAACTACCACCAGCTGCCCAGCTACTCAACCAGGCCCAGCCAAGTTGACACACAACATAACCATCACACTGTGCTTCATGTCTTTCCTTTGCAAAATGGAAATGACTATTCTTGCCTTCTTACACTATAGGATTGTGATGAGGAGAAATAAGTTAGAAGGTAATAAAAATGGCTCCTAAACATGTTCTGATGATGACAGTCATGAGCAGCCCTGAAGTGGGAAGCCAGCCAAGCCTTTTTCTATCTAAACTTGGGTCTTTGCCACCAGACTTTTCCACTGTGGAGTGAGGGGATGACTGGCACCCTATGGCACTAATTCTCTTCTTGCCCTTACCTTTCACATCCACTCACAGTCCACAGAGGCCTCTCCCAGGGCATTAATGGCCTTGCAAGTAGAGATGCTCCCATCAAAGGGACCAGGCTTGTGGATTTCTAGGGAGCAGATTCCCAGGTAAGTGAGGGCTCTGTACTTGGGATTGCCTTGGATATCCATCTTGTTCTTCAGCCAGATGATCTTGGACTAGAATATGAAAAGGAGGGGGCAGCAAGAAGTCTTAAGCCTTAGCTACAGTTAGGACAAAAGCAGGAAGCAGTACAGCACAGACCCCCACAACTCCCCACTCCCTGTGTTCAGCACCTGGTAGTTTGCCCACAAGGCTTGGAGACAGACCAGCAAGGGGAGCAGTAGGAGTAGGATGCTTTAAGAGTGCATGGCAAAGAGAGCGAGAGGAAGTCTTGGCCTTCAGGAAGATTCAGGAAGATTCTGCCATCCCTTATGTTCTGGGAAGAGGTTCTCCTTCCAGTATCCTCATCAACCCCCCAAGTCCTTCTCTGGGTTGAAACTCCAGCACCTAAAACTTCATCTCCTTCAAGCCCCTCCTGCTGTTCCATCTTGCACAAGCAACCCCTTCATGGAACATAAGCACTGGATGTAGGAATTTCCTGTTTTTTACATATACATTGTGAGTCCCTCGTATTCTATTCCCACAATTGGCTTGTAAACCATTCCTGTCCCTTTGGGCCAGAGAGTAGTTTCTAGAGTGGACTTATTAATATTCTCTTTCTGAGATGTTATTCCCACATAGTCTGGCTCTAAATTCATAACACAAAAGGCACTTGATAAAGGTTGTTAATGGTGTTTTATGCCATATTTGGAGTATAGCGACTGATTGTAAATAGCCAGAGCCTTCTTCAGGTTTGGGGCCAAAGGCTGAACTCTAGACAGCTTGCATATACATGTTCTTGATCAGATGAGGGGTAAGTAAGTAAGGAAAAACCACTGGGACTCCATTACCCCTTCCAGAAAGACAACTTGAAACTCATGTCTGACTGCCAGCAGGTCATTAAGTGAATCTTTGTGTATAAGACATAAAACATGAAGAAAAGAAAACTGGTAATTTGCCATTGAAGAGGCAGATGATAGTGATGGTAGCAGAGGGTCTGATGGAATGCCCTGAGCCATAGCTGCAGTTGGGACAAGAATAGGAAGCGGAGCAGCACAGCCTCCCACAACTCCCTGTTCACCTTGGGAGAGGCACGGACGCAGCAGAAGAGCTGGGTGTCATAGCCAGTCACTGTGGTGCAGTCTGCCAGAGGTTGGGTAAACTTTGGGGCTTTGGAGAAATCTCTCTGGGCAAACCCCTCAATCTTGCAAATAGTAGCTGAGGGGATGAAGATGGAGTAGTGTCTGAGATCCTTGTCCCTCTTCAACTCTTCATCCTTGACTTTTCCCAGCTTGGGTTCTCCATGCCTTATCTGCTTTCTGGATGTGGGCCAGGTCAGAAGTGACTGGGGCTGTCTCACTGAGCCCACACTGGTTTTTGGCAAAGACATGAAATACACAGGAGTTGGCCTATGATGAGACCGGAGACAGTGTAGCTGGTGCAGTGATAATGCTCCAGTACTGTGAACCACAGCTGTGGGGTCCCAAGAAGATGCCATAACTGAGATACCCGATTTGTGTACTCAGTCTACCTCAGCTCACCCCGTGAGTTCCCAGAGCCCCACTCCAGAATGTCCTATTCCTCCCTCTTTCCTGGCAGGGCCTTACCCCAGATTTTGTGTCAGCCTTCTGCACTGTGTATCCCAGGAGTGCTGTATTGCCTGTGTCTTGGGGAGGTGTCCACTCCAGGGTAGCACTGAAGCCCCAAACATCTACCAACTTGATACTGTGTGGAGGGCCTGGCCTCTCTGAAATGGCAAAGCCATAGCAGTGGGCATGGAATCACCCATATGCACTGAAATTACTTCCAGAGTACTCCATGCCCCCTTCTCTGCTCACGACAGTGTATTTCCTGTAGCTATCAGCCCCATCATCCACTGCTCTATCCCAAACTCAATGTGGGGAAGTTACCCGAGCTTCCCCATCTCTCTGACATGCCTTCTCTTCAGCCTCTAGAGGAAGCCCTTTAGGACCATCCTAAACTCCCACTCCCCCCACCATACCGATCACTAGGATGTCAAAGGTGGCAGTGGCTTCCAGCCTGCCCAGGTGCACACTCGGCTGGTAGTGGCCCTAGTCAGTTCGTTGGGCTTCTCAGATGAAGAGAACGGAGTCCTTCTCCCCATTCCACACACTCACACGATGGGTGTGCAAGGCACACCCATCATGTGTCCAGGTGGCTTGAGATTTGGGCTTTCCCTGTGAAGTGGAGATAAGGCCATGAGCAGCCCCAAGAGGCCTCTTGACCCTCCCTATTCGGTATGGGTCAGATCCACCCCAGGTGCACATGATGACTTGACTTATAGCTGTCTATTCCTTGAGTTAGAGGTCGGTGGATCCTCCCAGGGGACTTCCTACTTAAAGTAACAGCTTAAGGGTCATGGGAAAGGGGATGATTTTAAGTGCACCACCCTCTGGGAGTTTAGGTCGTAGACACCTGGGACAAGTGAGACCAACTGACTATCCCCCAAATCCCAAGAGCCTTCCAAACAGAGAGTTCCCAGATCTCTGCTGGCTGAAGAGCAAAGATGAGCACCTACCTCATCACATGGGGCAAACCCTACCCAATGTAAACCCACCCTCAGGAGTGCAGAATGGAAGTCATTTGGCCTCAGATTTCCATTCAAGGCCATGATAACTGCCCTACTGCTAGCAGGACTCTTGGTATTTTTTTCCAAATCAAAAGTTGCAACCTGGTCACACCATGGGCCCAGAGTTATCACCTGGAATGGGATTAGTAGGTTCACTGTGTCCCCAACCTTGCAGATGTAGGTCTGCCTCAGGGCCGAGGTAGCCAGATCTTGGGAAGCTCTGAGAGAGAGAGAGAACAGGCCATAGTGAGCCTCCCCTGGTAGGAAGAGGAGAGTTCTAAGGTAGATACTGCATCCTGCTGTGGAACTGACCCAGGCATTTCTCAGCAAATTAGTCCCTCTCCTAAGAGAATGGGAAGTAAGATCACTGGACTGCAAACCTGATGTTCATTTCTTTTCATTTATAACTCTCAACTAGTGGCTTTTTATCAACAGATATATATATATATATATATATATACATATTTTATAGTGCACAGACCAGTCCAGTCATCCAGTCAGTGTGGTCTGTGTGTTCTCTTCTTTTCTACATTTGTCTTTCGTCATGCTTCTTTTATCAATGCCACTTTCCACATTAATCCATCTCCCAAGTGTTGGTCCTACCCCCCACCCAGGGCCAGATTCCAGCAGAATGCTTTCTTTTCCTTTTCTTTCTTTTCTTCTTCTTCTTTTTTTTTTTTAAATTGTGATTTGGGTAAAGATTTACAGAGCAAATTCACTTTCCATACAGCAGTTCACATACACTTTGTCTCATGACATTGACTATAATTTACCACAACGCAACAGCTCCCCTCCCACTTCCTCCCGACAATTACCTCTTCCCTGTGTCCATCCCTCCATTCCCTCCTGCTCCCTGAGCTGTCTCCCAGTGCATAAGCAGCCCTTCTTTCTCCCATGATTGTTCCCTCCAAGGAGTGTATCTACCTCAGGTAAATGTTCAACTCCTATGCCTGTCTTTTATTTGGCTGGAAACCATGGGTGTGCATTCAATTCCAGACCTGAAGGGCAGCTAGGGGCCATAGTTTCAGTGGTTCCACCAGGCTCTATTGGACCAACAAACCTGGTCCCCCACACCCTTTTTTTTTTCTCCAAATGATTTTGAGTTTTGTCCACATTGTGCTCCCTTTCTATTCAGGATCTCCTACATAGATCCCCTTCCAAGTGGTTGACATTGGTAGCTGGGCACCATCTAGTTCTTCTAGTCTCTAGTCGTATAGGCTGCAGATAGGATGGTGTACCAGTCACTAGGACTGATTGTTTCCATGAATTTTGGTTTTCTTCATTCTTCTTTGCTCTGGACGAGGACAGACCCATTGTTGCATCTAGATGGCAGCTTGCTAGCTTTTAAGACCCCAGTTGCTACTCGCCAAAGTAGGAGGTGGAACAATATTTTGTATAGTATGTTATGCCAATTGAGCTTGATGTTCCCTGCAACTATGGTCCCAAGCCCACAGGTTCAACTACTCGGTCCCTCTAGGTAGCTGGCTGTGACCAAGCAGTGACCATAACCTTGCCCCTTGTCAGCTCTACTATACACCTGGGAATTCTGATCATTCACATAAATTTATAGGACCATTGTCTGCCAACCCTGTACATGTTCTTGGATACACTCCCCATTTCATAGACATACCTAATCATTCAGCCTGTCCACCCATCTATCCACCCATATACCCATGTTTGCCTTCACTGACAACGCAGTACTGTATGTGCAAAAGAGTTCATCTTTGTTGTTTGTACCTCTCATGTACCTCTCTATGTCTTTCTCTTCCTCAATGCCACCACATTGATCACTCACATTTGGTACATTGCCCTTCTCTTAACCCAAATCAATACTTACCTCTAGCTATCTAACAGTGTTTCTTACCCTACCCTCCCACTCCTGGTAACCAACAAAGAAAATTTCCTTCCATAGATAAACCTTTCCTTGACTTTTACAGTAACAGGCTAATACAATATTTGTCCTTTTGTGATTGACTTATTTCACTCAGCATAATGTCCTCCAAGTTCATCCACGTTATGCAGTGTTTTGCAGATTCTACATTATTCTTTAGCGTTGCATAGAATTCCATTGTGTGTATGTACCATAAGCAGAAGGCTTTCTGCATGGCAGAGTCAACACCCTTGACTCTAACAGCCCACCTACTAGGACAACACTGACATCATCATGTCAACATCGAGGGAAATGAATGTCTGTAGTCCCTTCCTCAGGCCTGCTTCAGGGCACCACTGTAGTGTTCATCCAGTTTGTGGAGAATCACATTTTCAAACAAAATCTAGCAAAAAGTAGGTCCACTTCTCACTTTCCTTTAACTATCAGAGAAAAGCAAGACTAGATCAAGTTTATTGTCTTCCAGAATGAAGACAGGAGAAGCTTGAGAAAGTGCTGAGTATAGGGTTTGGAGAATGACTAGTTGTAATTTCTTTTCTCTCAAGATAGTCAGGCTGCCTTGACCTGGAAATTGCAAATATCCTACCTGGGTTCCTCTGGGGCTCTGGCTAAGATTTTCTGGTTTTCTCAGAGATCCTATCTCTTCCTGTCTCTAAGAGACAATCTTTGCTGCTATTGTCTGAAGTAGACTGTGACTGTACGTCAGTTCCCACCATCTCCCCTCCACTCACAACTCATACCAAATCCAAAAATTAATCTAAATACACTGTCATCAAGTCAATTCTGGCTCATAGGGACTCCCACTGGATTTCCAATACTGTAAATCTTTACAGAAGTGGATTACCTCATCTCCCTGCTGTCACGTGGGTTTGAACCATTGACCCTCTGGTTAGCAAGCACCCAAATGCCTTACTCACTACACTTCCAGAGCTCATATCAAGCAATTGTGAAAAATCTACACTTGACACACTTCTGTGGCAAATAGCACAACTGCTTGATAGAAGATTCAACACTTTTTTTTTTACATACTTTACACAGTTTGATAACATGCTATGTAATAAACAATTTATTCTGGCTTTTTTTCCCCTCCAATTCCTGGAAGGTAGCCTATTTTCCCAAGTTTACAATAATGAGATGACTCAGGATGAGGGCAGGGCTTGAGAGAAACACTAATCACTGATATGCTGTCAGTGATATCAATCTTTGGGAAGGACTTAAGTTCAGTAATGTGCCCAATGATTCAATCAATCATGCCTCCATAAAAAGCCAAGGCTTGAAGGCGTTTCCCTGGGTGGCAAGGTTCAGTGTATTGTCACACACTGATGTGACAGTAGGGTCATGTGTTCCTGAGGACAATGGAGACTTGGTTTTTTTGGGGGGACTCTCAAAGACCTTTTGTCTATCCCTTTGGCTGATTCCGATTTGTATCCTTTTGCTACAGTAAAACTGTAATCGAAGGTATAATGCTTTCCTGAGTTCTTTGGGCCATTCTGGTAAATAATTGAACATGAGGAGTAGTTAAAAAAAAAAAAAAAAAAAATCCTCATTGCCATGGAGTCAATTCCAACTCATAGTGACCCTACAGGACAGAGTAGAACTGCCCCGTGGGGTTTCCAAGCTGTAATCTTTATGGAAGCAGATTGTCAAGTCTTTCTCCCACAGAATGGCTGATGGATTCAAACTACCAACATTTTGGTTAGAAACTCAGCACTAAGCTACTGTGCCACCAGGAATCCCTAAATCTGTAGCCAGCTTGTCAGAAATGAGGGTAGCTCAGGGACCTTCAAGCTTGTGGCTGGTGTCTGATGTGAGGGCATAGTGGAGGACTGTGTCCTTAATCTCTGTGAAGTTTGGCTCAACTCCAGGTAATTGTCATCAGAAGTCATTTACCCATAGATATTTCCTGAGTTTTCCGCCACATATAGGTATGCTTACTTATAAACTGGGCTGTTTAAATATGTATGTCATATAACTCAAAAATTTAAATAGTGAAATTAAAATAAATTAGATGAAGTTCTACCATGTCCTTCCTACATCTTGATTTGTGGATCATTGTCTAGAGATCAGGCAGTTCACTCCCACAGTCACTTACCCCCCATCACAATCTCAAGAGTATTTGTCCTTTGTTAACAAATACAAATACAAATCTACAGTGCACATTTTCTATTTACTGTATATTTATCTAATTTCCATTTTTCCTGCTCAGTGCAAGCAGGAATAAGTGATAAAGCACCCCTGGGCTGCTCCCTCCCTGTGCTGCTCAGGGCCAGATGCCTCGACTGGAACATCACAATGTAGTAGCCTCAAGCAGCTGAATTACCCTGCTCTGGGTAGCTCTGTCTTCACCTTGTGTGGTTTTGCAGGGAGAGGGCAGAGCTTGAAGAACAGAAGTGTTTGTATTATGTGTTTCTCCTCTGTGACCATCTTGGCAAATAACCAAGGGGTTGACAACAATCTCTTATTACTTAAGGTTTTTTTTTAATTTTTTTAAGAGGGTGGTAATTGGGAATGAGGGTCTAAACTTCAACTTGTTGGGCTGGGTTTTGCTATTTGGTGGCTGAGGAAATAACCTTTTATATTTGCTGGGAAGAGGGCTGGGGAGAAGGCAGGCTAGCCACCCTTCATTCTGCCTACAAAAACATTACAGTTATGAAGGACCTTGATAAGTACCCAGATCAATGAGAAGGTTGGAAGAAAAGGGGTTGAGAGATGAAAACTGATTTACCCAAGATCTCAAGGCTGGTTGTGAAGTTGTGCCTAGCTCCCAAGACTCTTGCCTTCCAACTAGCAAAGGATTCATCCTCTATCTGAGCCTGATGCACCTATCAATTTACCTACCTGGTTAGGACTGGGCTCCACGATCAGGACTCTGCTTCGGAAGGGCAAGGCAAAGATGGGAAGGGAGAGGGAGACACTCAAGGACTGAAAAGGATTGAGACTAGGAAAGGAAGCCAGGCCTTCACGCCTGAAAGATGGGCCAACTGGGCCCTATTCTGCTCACACCTCAGGTAGGAAACTGGATATAGATAGATGCATGTTGATGTATATATCTGTTTCCACTTAGTTTTTCTTTTGTTTCTCTGAAAAATACTTTGGAAAGCATTAACATTCTTTTACTTGATCTAAAGAGAAAAATTAAAGAAGTGGAGTTATGTGGAACATAAGCTGAGGTGGGAGAGTTGGGAGGTGGAATGACTCTTGAGATCCACAAGAGACCCCAGCTGGGGCTGAGAGGCAGAGGAGAAAAACTGATGGCTAAGGTGGTGGTTTCATCCTTCCTGGGCTCCCTTGACAGCTATCTGCTTGTAAGTGAGATTCCCTTAAAAGACAACAACAAACAACTCATCCCCATTGATGCTGATTCTCACTCACCCGCAACCCTTTATGTTACACAGTAGAACTGCTCCCTATGGTTCCCTTGACTGTCTTTCTTACAGAAGCAGATCACCAGGCCTCTCTTTTGCAGTGCTGCGGAGAGGGTCAAACTGCCTACTTTTTGGTTAATAGTAAAAAATAAACCATTTGTGCCACCCAGGGACGTAAGGGAATTCTCTTACAAGATGATAAATTGATAGGAGAAAAACTAGAATGTTCCATCTCTCTGAGGGTTCGTGTGAGACCTCTGTTCTCAGTAGGCTTCCAGGCTCCCCAGTGGGAGAGCAGAGGATGGGCTTGAGGCTAAAGCAGCTGACAGAGTGCTGAAGGCTGCAGAGAAGTGTTTGACAGCAAGTGTTCCAGTTTCCCAACCAGGTCCAGGCCTTCTTGTTGGTTTCAACAAACAGCAATCTGACCCTTTGCTAAGAATGTTAATACCAGGGCTCATTTGGTGCATGTGATTTCACACGTCCACAGTCAGAGAGACGTGTTAATTGTACTGACCTTGGGGAAGCATGTTGTTGTTATCGTTGTTGTTATTTGCCGTGGAGTTGGCCCCGACTCATAGCGACCCCTCCTTGGGTTTCTGAGGCAGTATCACTACGGAAGTAGGATTGTCCAACCTTCCTTCCAAGGAGTGGCTGGTGGGTTTGAACCACCAGCCTTCTGGTTAGCAGTCAAGTGCCTTAGGCACTATGCTACCAGAGCATGGCATTCCCTAAAGCCCAAGGTCTTTCTCCCTGTCAGGTGCCAGAAGGGATGTTAACCAGCCAATCCCTTGATCCTCTTTCACATCATTGCAGCCTCCCAGAAAAACCCAACCCTGGATAAATACTTTTCACCCATTCAGTGCCTGCATCTGTGCAGCCGAATGTGCCTGGGGAAAAACACAGAACTCCTGCAACAATGGGCTCAAACACAGCAGGATGGTGCAGGATCCGACAACGCTTCATTGTGTTATACATGAGGTCTCTGTGAGTCAGAGCTGACTCAACAGCAACTACCGACAGAAAGTTGACTCTAAATTGATGGCCACTAACAGGGACCATAACTCCAAATGGACCTGGCAGTTATACTAGACTTCCCTAGTTCACTTACTCTTGCATTCTTCTGCGTGACTACTGAACACCTTCTTCTTCTTCTTCTTCTCAAACCTCTTCACTTCCTCCCTCATCCTCATTCTTAGTTGATGATCTTGTTGTCTAAGGTCTTCCTGGAGTCTATTCTTAAAACAGCAACAAGAAAATCCTTAAAGCTATGTCTGATCCATCGGTCCTTACTCAGAACCCTGCACTGGCTTCCCACCTGGCTCAGAGTCCAACCAAAGTCTTCCCGATGGCCCTGATACCTCCCTGACGGCCTTCTCCCTTCCCTTGGCTGCAGCCACAGCAGTGCCAACCGACAAGGCACACTCCTGCTTTAGGCCCTGCATTCCCTGTGCCATCTGCACTTCCCCCTAGACATCTGCAGACCTTGTGCTCTCACTTCTGTTAAGTTGTTGCTCAGATATTGTTAGACACAATGGTTAAGAGCTCAGCTGCTAACAGAAAGGTCAATGGTTGGAACTCACTAGTTGCTCTGAGGGAGAAAGACCTGGTGATCTGCTCCTGTAACGATTACAGCATAGGAAACCCTATGAGGCCGTTCTACTCTTTCATATAGGGTCGCCATGAGTTGAAACCCATTTGACAGCACACAGCAGTGAGGCGTTCACTGAATATACTATTAAAAACTGCACTTCTCACCTCCAGAATTTCCTATCCCTCTTCTTTGCTTTATTTCTCTTTGTAGCATTTATTGTCATCTATTACAGCTCTGGTGGTGTAGTGCCTAAGGCATTTGACTGCTAACCAGAAGACTGGTGGTTCAAATCCACCAACCACTCCTCGGAAGGAAAGTTGGGCAATCTACTTCCGTAGTGATACTGCCTCAGCAACCCAGGGAGGGGTCACTATGAGTTGAAGTCAACTCAACGGTGTATTACAACAACAACGTTATATATTTTACTTATTATTTATTGTCTGTCTCCCTCCACCGGAATGTAACTTCTATAAGGCCTCATTAATTTTGCTTATTTTGTTCATTTCTGTATTCCTGGCACCTAAAACAGTGGCTGTTGTTATGTGCCATCGAGTTGGACCCCAACTCATAGCAACCCCTCCTTGGGTTTCTGAGGCGGTATCTCTACAGAAGTAGATTGCCCCATCTTACTTCCGAGGAGTGGCTGGTGGGTTTGAACCGCCAGCCTTCTAGTTAGCAGTCAAATGCCTTAGGCACTATGCCACCAGAGCTCCTATGGCTAGGACATAATAGGCACAAAATAAACATTTATAGAAGGAAGGAGAGAGGGAGAAAAGGAGGGGAAGAGGGAGCCTGCTCCCAGGCATGGAATTTTGCTTCTCATGCTTGAAGACAGAACAGTTCAGATTAAAGAGGGTGCTCAGTGGAGCAATTATAATGAAATCAGCAGATGTGCCTCCCTCTTCCATTTCAGGGAGGTCACGGCATCCTAAAGGATCTTTGGGTGGACTTCAGGGACTCTGAGAACTCCATGAATTTCACCTGCATTTTTCCTGAGGCAAAAGTCCTCAGTTTTCCTGAGATTTTCTCAGGGGTCCTTATGCATCAAAAGGTAAAAGTCGTTGATTTAGTCCAACCCCTTAATCTACAGATGAGAAAAATGGAGGCCCAGCAAGGTGGACTGACTTGTCTAGGGTCATAGGACAGAGGTAAGATTTGAACTCATGACTTCTTCTTCCAAACAAGTAACAGATGCAAATACACTCTGCAAAGCTTAAAATGATGTCCTGATTACCAGTGTCCACTGGTGCTGGTGGCCCTGAAACCTGCAATGCATGGAGCTGCTCCTCACAGGGACAGGGGTCTTTAGGCTGTACTTGTGGGACTATGGCCAGGGACCGTCAGGAGCTAACTGCCCACAGCTTCTGCAGCTGGAGAGAAGTGTAGGTGGGATGAGGTCCTCCCCCAGGATTTTGTGGGGCCAGTGGAGAAAGTTGGGGATTCAGCAGCCTTGAACTTTCATTCTCCCACTGCCCCTAACTCCCTGGTCTGTGTAGGAAGGTTTTCTGTCTCATGCACCTCAGCTTGATTTGTTCACAAATACTTCTCTCCTTCCACCCTTCTTCATTGGGGCAAGTTCAGCCAGCTTTCTGACCTTGACATTCAAACAGCTTCTGAAAGCCTGATCTTTTCCATTAGAATGATAAGGGGTGGGGGTCAGTGTGTGTGTGTGGAGGGAAGGAACTGCTCCTGCCTGACCCTATTTGGAGGTAGAACTCCTAGTCTTCACTTCTGACTTGGAAATATTTTATTATCTATTCATATCTTGGTGTGGCCTCTTCCTAGGTATTTTGGATAATCTCAGCAATCTTTTCAATGATGTTGCTCAAAAAACCACACACTGCCATCGAGTCAATTCCAACCCATAGCAAGCCCCCATTGGGTTTCCAAGGTGGTAAATCTTTACTGAAGTAGATTGCCCCATCTTCCTTCCACGGAGCAGCTGATGAGTTCGAGCTGCCAACATTCTGGTTAGCAGTCAAATGTCTTAGGCACTGTGCCATCAGAGCTCCTAATGATGTTGCTAACCATGCAGGTATTATTCATCATGATTTTGCAGAGGAAATTGAAGCTGAGCAGTTGATTGCCTAGTCTAAGGGTCACATAGCTGCTTGAGGCAGCACTGGGAATTGAGCTGAGATCTGTATCTTTTCTCCACCACCTCTCTCTGCCCTGGGATTCCATGGGTTTCTCATTTGTGGTCTTTGGATCTTCTGTATTTAGACTTCAAGGTACCAAAAGTAGGGGCTTTGTGCAGGTCACTCTCTTAGACACTTAATACAGCCCTGTGGCTGCTTCTGTTGGTTATCACGTAGGGCAAGAGAGAAGCACATTTTCTCATTCATCTCTTTCTCCATGAAAAGGGGCACCTGGCTTCTGTGTCCCATGTCCAGTTTGCTGAGCCAGGAGCAGTGGGAGACATACCTGTGTTTGGCTTCCAGAGTCCTTGCGGGTGAGCATCACACAACTCTGTTAGCTACAGAGGGTCTCAGGCAGGGGCAGCTGGGGGGTGGGTTGCAGGGCTGCTGGCAGGGGAGCTTGGTGTTGGAAGGAAAATCACTGCCTCCTAGCCGGAGAATGCCTTTTTCCTGGGAGGCTCATGGCAATTGTCATGGAGGGAAATGCTTCTCTCAGAAGGGCTCCCCTCCCAGGGAGCTCAGATTCTGAGAGGCTGGGATGTCCCATGGGAGACCCTGGGGTGCTGGGGTAGGTCCTGGTGCTCTGGCACTGCCAAGGAAGATGCAGGGTGTCACTGAGCTGTATGACACTCGGCCTCCCAGGGGATACAAGCTTTTACTTTCCCCCTTCTCCTCATCTAGATGGCCACCGTCTCCCCTCATTCCCTTCCTGACTGGCCATCATTAAGTCAGAGCCTCCCAGTGACAGATACTTTTTTAAAGATGAAAATATAAACAGATCTTTTTTAGCCACTGTAAAGTGCCACAAACACCATTCATTGACCTCTCAGCTAAAAAGTAAAAACCCAGAAAAGACACTTTAGCAGCAAGTAAGAATCCATCAAGGAAGGGGTTGGGGGGCACCAATGAATGAACCCTATTCAAAGTACCAGTCCCATAAAGACATTTAGCTCTGCAAACACCTAATGAGTGTAGTCACAGTGGTAGGCACACCCTCTCCAAACCCCTCCATGTAGTCCCCCCAGCCCCACCAACTGCCATGGGTCACCTTCTGTAGGGAACAGGAGCTGAGGAATAGGGCTGCTGACCCCCTGTTGAGGTGGAGCCTGGGGTCCTTCAGCATCAGCTGGGCTGGCTCCTTTCAGCATCAGTGTAGTTCCCAGGGCCACCTCCCAAGCTGTGGCTGCCTCCATGGTGGGCTTGCCCATGGCCTGCTCCAGCCACAGGTTGTCACTGTTGGTGGTGAGGGAAGGGCTGAACACCTGCTCTCTGGCCTGCTTCTGGGGTCCCAGCCACAGGGTTATGTAACTAAGCCGGCTTTCCCCACCCAGCTACTCCCAGCAAAGGCTTGAGCAGGGGCTAGAGGAAGAGAGGGGCATCAGAGAGCAGCCCAGAATAGCCACAGGGGGAGGGCTGAGGTGGCCCTGTTATCTTGGGAGAGAGATGATATCTTCACACAATGCTAGGGAGGCGAGAGCTTGGGCACAGATTATACAAAGAGGGACTCCGGACTCCATCAGGAGGATGCCTTGGCTCCTGATCTCCAGCTCATCCAACAGGGCGCCTGGACCCAGAGAAGGGCCCCAGAACTAGCTGATTCACATAGACAGGTCTCTAATGCTCTTTCTCTGATGACTTACATAAAGTCCTATCAATTCAGCCTTACTGGTCTATCCACCATGCTCCCCATCCTTCCTTCCCTCTGTGTGGCCCAGTGGTGGTGGAGCACTGTGCAGTGATAGAGTCTGCACATGGGTCAGACTACCTGGGCTCTGACTTTAGCTCCATCACCAAATAGCTGTGTGACTTGCAACACATTACAATCTCCGTTTAGTCTGTTTCCTTATCTGTAAAATGGAGGTAATAACCACCACAAGAGGCAAGACATGCTTAGTAGAGTCTGGTGGACTAAGTGCTTGATAAATGCAAGCTATTTTAGGCCAGGGCAGCATTCATTCCCCCCTGAAAGCTGTCCATGGCTCCCCTGCCTATGTGATACAGTAGGAATCAAGGGAGAGGCAGCCGTAGTGGGGAGGGGACAGCCAAGGGCATAAGGTCCAGGACGTGAGTGGGACTTTCGGCTATACTGTTGTTGTTGTTGCTATACTGTTGTTGTTGTTGTTATGTGCCGTCCAGTCAGCCCTGACTCATAGGGACCCCTCCTTGGGTTTCCGAGGCAGTATCACTATGGAAGTAGGATTGCCCAACCTTCCTTCCGAGGAGTGGCTGATGGGTTTGAACCGCCAGCCATCTGGTGAGCAGTCAAGTGCCTTAGCCACTATGCTACCAGAGCTCCTTATACTGTTGTGGTACAGTGAATTACTTAATAGGCGTTTAGCCACGGTCCTTGTGACTTTCACCAGATGACTGGGTGGAACTATGCAAATGTGAGATGCTGTGGCCCACCAAGGGGATTAGATAGCTTGCTAATAATGTAAATAAGGAACATGATACCCTCGTGGGGGTGGGGAATAGAAGTCCTTGTAAGGAACCCTAATGTGGGGATGGTCAGTTTTGTCATCTTGCTAGGCTTAAAATGAGCCATCCCAGAGGAAAGGGAGATCTTAATACTGTCAAGAAACAAGACCCAAAAGGGGCATCGTCCTTCGGACACAAGATCCCTGTGCTGAACTTCCTTGATCCAGGAAAGAAAGAGAGAGCTCTAACACTTTGCTGAGGTGGAGAGAGATGTTAGAGACAAGGCATCAGCAGAACATGAGACCAGAATGGGACAGAGCAGTGGGCTTCCTGGCCCACAGAATGAGCAAGCTGAGTGCTCTCAGGCAGGATGCTTGCTGGTGGAGTGGAGTGCCTCTCTGCGCACCTAGCTTCAGGGCTAAAAGAGCTTTATAACACTTACTGGACCAGGGAAGAGGCTGAGGCCAAAGAGAAGCATACATGGTTGAGAAGCTGTCCCAATTGAAGAACTGTACCTTGAGTTGGTTTTGATCCTGAATTTTAACCTGTTATTTCCCTAATAAATCCCATAATCATGAGAACTGTGAGTTCTGTGCAACAATTGCAATGAATTATTGAACCTAGCAGAGAGTGCTATTGGGAAGGACAGCTGGGTGTCAGAATTGGTTAAAAGGTTGGAGGGTGGTGGCATGTCTGACCTCCTCCTCCTAACAGGGATTAGTCTTAGGCTGGTTCCTCCTTCCCACTTCTGAAGTTTAAGGAGATCAGATGCTGCCCCCAGGCATTTTGCAACTGTGCATTCAAGACTTAAGTGACCCTGGGATGGGTCACTTGTGTGCTGAGCTTCAGAACCTTGGTCTATGAAACAGGAGACGATGACATCATAATTTTGTTAAGGCATCATTTGTCAGACTTGCTACAAGGAACCTACCAACGTAGGAGAGTAATTGCATGGAAAGGTGTAGCACTTAAAACCTGAGGTGAGTGGGTGTGGTGCAGTGAACTACTTGGTATTATTTTTCTAGCCATTTTTTTTTGTAAGGCCCACCAGATGACTGGGTGGAACTATGCAAATGTGATATGCTTGTGGCCCACGAAGGGGATTGGATAGCTTGTTGATAATGTAAATAAGGTACATGGCACCCTTGCGAGGCTGGGGCCATGCAAAGAAAGTACATGGAACCCCAGCGTGAAGGTCAGTTTTGTCATTCTGCTACGCCTAAAGTGAGCCCTCCTAGAGGCAGGTGAGAGGATCTCATTGGCATCAAGAAAAAGACCTGGAGGTGGAGGGGAGCGGGTCCTTGGACCAGAGATCTCTGTGCTGGACCTACTCAGCTGAGACCACAGTGGCAGCAGAACCAAGAGGCATGAGACAGAGTGGCGGGCTTGCTGGCCCATGGAGTGAGAAAGCAGAATGCCTTTGGGCAGGTGGCTTGCTGGTGGAGTGGGGTGCACCCATCGGTATAGCTAAAATAGCTTTGTAACACTTACCTGAGCAGGGCAGAGGCCAGCCCAAGCAGCTAAGGTCCAGAGAGGAAAGCTGAGGGGAGACTGTCCCGATTGAACTGTATCCTGAGAGCGTCAGAACTTACATTGTAACCTACTTCCCTAATAAACCCCATAATCGTGATTGTTGTCTGAGTTCTGTGTGGCAACTGCAACAAATCACTGAACCCAGCAGAGAAATAGTGAGTACCATGGGAGGGCTTGCTGCTTCCAGAATTGATAAAAAGGCTGAAGGGTGACGGCATATCTGGCCTCTGGGTAGCTGATGGGGATTCTACCTCCCCTTTGTGAATTTAGAGGAGGTCAGAGGATGCCACCATGTCTTTTTTGCAATGCAGTATGTCTGCTAGCCTTTCTAGGGGCAGGAATAATAAAGTTGGTGTCATAAATACCTGTGGAAGGTAGATCTTTATGGGCATAAAGCACAAGAAAAGAGACCCTTTCCCATAAATCATCTAGTACCTTCCATTTTTGTGCTAGAAATGCAGAGTCCTGGTTTTTCAATTGGCATATTCTCTGGTTGCTGGAGTTTGAAGCTAGAAAACTGGAAAAAACTATCATATTAACAAACTGTAGCTTAGACATCTCAGTAGGTCAGGTAACAAAGTCCAATCTGCTTTATTTCTAACTCAAATATTGCAAATATACAGAAAATTACCAGTACAAAGTTAAACACATCCAGATTTATTTACACAATGCTAAAGAAATTTGAGTTTTATTTCCATTTTGTGTAATTTTGTTACGGGGTCTGGCTTTGTTGTGGAATTAACACGGGTCATTGAAACTTGATTATCCCACCTCACATGCAATTTTCTGTCCCAAGGGAACAGAAAACTTAGATTTTTAGAGCACATGCAGTAATGTTCTTAATACTGCTTTACACTTTAACAGGAAGGTGGCTGTCCCACAGCTTGGGGGCTGGGGAGCAGGAAGTTATTGAACAGGGAGGAACCACATGCTCAGAAAGGGAACAAGAGACAAGAGGGGGTTGAACAACAGGCACATGGGGACCCTGAGCATTTCTGTGCATGGGAGGAGAGCACCACCCAAACCCTTCTCCCTAGACATCCAAACACAGGAGGTGGGCGGACTCACCAAATAACATTCAAGTCATCCCACCACAAACTGAGGGCATGCGGAGGATGGCAACTGCATTAATGATGTGGGGCTTATCAATAAATCATTAACTTGTACACTATACAGTCTATACATGTATATATGTACACACACACATATATATATAAAGGTACAGATTAGTTCATGTTATTCTATATAAACAAGGATGCTTAAGAATGTACTGGTGTGAAAAAAATGCATACAGCAAACTGTTGAAGACAAGTTCAAATTAATGTTCTGATTTCCACTGTTAGAATGTAACCAAGAAATCATCATGCTCTGGCTATTTTAGTTCTCTTCTGTGTGGGTGGGGCCCAGGTGCCACTAGGCAGGATGGTGCTCCCTAGGCTGCCTGAGCTGGGCAAACGGGTGGCAGATGGAACAGAAAGTCTGCCACCTGTTGACTTTGGCCCTGTCACTCTGTCATGTTCAAAGAAGATTTAAGTCCATGTTCATTTTCCTGCTTGAGGAAAAGTGGCAGCAGAGTTGAGAAGCTGAGTCATCTCCTGTCTGAGCAGCTCCAAGCAGCCTGGCTCTACTTGGGGTGAGGGGCTGTGCTGACATGAGCAGATGAGCCTGGGCCACTGCTTCTGGGGCAGGGCTTGCTAGAGCTCTCCTAAAAGGAGAGAGAGAGACTCTCTCTACCTGGATGGTTTGCCTGGAAAACAAACAAATGACTGAAGCCAGGCCAGCCCTGTCACCTAGTGTAGGTGAAGACTGTCCCATGCTCCTCTCTGCAGGCTGGTACTGTGATGAAGGCCATGGGAGAGCCAACTACGTACAGTTCACAGACTCAGGAGAGGAGCTGCAGGTGGCCAGCACATTACCAACTTCTCAGGGATGAAAGGCCAGCACACACCCAGAGGTAAACCTAAGAGGAAGAGCGATACCCACTGGGAAGCCTATTTAGACGCAGATGGCAAATTTTAAGTTTCAATTACAGATAATCTATTGAATCTCCCAATACTGAATAATGAATTTCCCACCCCAGAGCTTCCATTTCCATAATCCTCCAAAGCCTTTTATCCTTCTAAATGGTGTCACAATTCAACTACCTACCTAGATGTAGCCATCCCTCATCTCTGGATAGGAAACCAAGATACCTCCAATGACCCAGCCTCGCTAGAAACCAACAGCCCTGCTGGTCCAAAAC